TAATTAATTATTTAAAGAGTCATTCATAACTTTCACGCTCAAAAAAAATATCAATACAGCAACAAACATGAATAAAAGAAAGTTTAATCCATCACTAAAAATTCAAAATAACCCTGAGGACCAAAATCTTATAGTTCCAGTTTACGTTAATCAGAAATTCGAATTCTCAGATGAGATAAAAAATGTCAATGATGTCTACGCATTCCAACATTTTGTTAAAATTCTTTGCCGGAATGTTAGTAATTTTGATAACCAAAGGGGTAAGGACAACATCCAATATTCTTTGGATATCACGAGTGAGACTTTTTTGGATTCTAAATACAACTACATGACGAATTTATGGACAAACATGAGATATTTCAATATCAACATCTTATTCATCTTGGTTAAGAATCATGAGCATGTATCTCATATGGAAGAGCTTTTTGGTGATGTTGTTATCACAATTGATCCGATATATGATTCAACATTTAGATACCAATCGGATAAGATTCAAGAATTTACAACTATCCTTCGAAAATTTAATCCACAAACTTTTCTCAACGTTTGTGAAAATCACAAAAATGCTACTATTTACGATAAAACATCTTTAAATTCATATTTCAATGTTAAGAATATCAAGGTTAAAAGGAGGACTTTAATTGAATATCAGACCGAATTAACACAGGAAGAAATCGACATCCTAATTTTTAGATATCTGAAAGCTGGGAAATATATTAGGAAACGGAAACTAAGAGGTGGTGGTAAACCAAAAAATTACATTAATCAAAAAAAAATATTTCAATGCCCAGACACTTAAAACGATCGAAGATACTGTCAAGAAATTTTCGATTATATTCAAGAATACTTGCAAGTGCGAGCGACAAGTTTTCTTCGCCAATCTGATTGATTACATTTTAAAGTCAATTAATCCAAGACGTTCAAAATGAGAAATAATATGATAGGAACAGGCACCAGAAAAAGACTGTACATAATCAATTGAAAGAATTAGTACTTTTTTTTTTTTATCGAATTTATACCTATTTTCAAAATTCTTTGCTAAAGTTCGATTAAATATTGAAGCAAGGGACTCATGACCGGTCATGACTATTAGCCGGTCAGAGCAGTTTGACCGACCGGTCAAGATTATGACTGATTCCAAATTCTTAATATTCTGGATAATAAATGAATAATTAATGATTAATGATATGTTTCATTTTTGAATAAAATTTTTTATTGATATAAGTGAAATAATGGTGGTAATGCCGCCTAGACAATTTTATTTTGGAATCCATCGTCCACCTCAATGGGATTACTTTAGAAACTTTATGTAATGCAAATAATAATTAAAAAGGATACTTTTTATATTAACGCTAAGTATCTTAATAAATCACATGACTTAACGTCCATATTTTTAATTATCAGTTATATGAATCGATTTATTAAAGCAAATCTGGACCCGCTCTTTCAAGAGGTTATGAAACTTAGAGCTTTCGACTGGTTAGCTTTATTTAAAGTATAAATTGCGCAAACGAACGTAACTAATTTAATTTTTTAGAGAAAAGTATATAAAATGAAATATTTTTACTCAGATTAATGATTGGTTGCGACGCATTCTAGCACTAAACTGCTTAATTTTACATGAAAAATTTCGGCCGAATTTTGGTGTCAGAATATAGAATAAATTCAGTCAGAAATTTAGGGAAAACTTGACTCAGATTTAAAGATAATTTCAGCTAAAATTTTAATCTGGCCAAATTCTGGAGACAATCAGTATTATAGCCTAAATCAAGTACCAATCTCAAAAGAGTAATAAATAATGCCCTATATTCTACAGAAGTTATCCATAAATTTCAGCCTAAATTATTCGACTGAAATTATTTCTTGGCCGAAATTACAAGTGTCGATTATCTAAATTTGACTGGAATTAACACACTCTGGCCAAAATTATAAGATTTATAATATTGTTGTTTATCAAATTTTAACAATTCAAAATTTTATACAAGGTTAACTATTTCGACCGGATCTAAGTGTATTAAAAGTCTAAATGCAGATATACTTTTCGAGTAATCGTTTAAACGATTCTTTAAACGGTGATTCGAACAAATTTTCTGAGTGATTCATGTGCCATGCTATAATAAT